AGGTGGGTTGGGAGGGACACGACCCATCTCAACAGCTTAACGCAGGTGCTCAGTCAGGGTGGTGTTGCCACTGCGTGGTACAACTGAGAAACAGGCCCGTACCCAGTTCTGCTGTGTGCATGAGGACAACTGCTGAACACCCTAGAAGGTGTTGGGAAATATGTATGCCGATGTTAGGGATTGCGATACGCCTGTCAGGTTTAAGATGTTTGATCTGTTTGATTTGTTGGCTTTACTGTGCTCTCCAGATTTCGGTGTTGAAAGAGATCTGGTTGTTAACAGTTGCCTTCTGGCTGAAAAAAACCCCGCACTAAAATCCAGTGGTGGGATCTGAAGCCAAATTCAGGGTGGAAACAGGGCGCAGTTGATAACCGAAGTATCATTCATCATTAAGAGCTTCTCGTTTACCACAGTTTGACTGCGGGCAGGCCTTAAACCAGACCAAGAAGTCTTGCTAAAAGGTGTGCTTTTGATGCGCCATCCACATTTCTGACTGGGCTGTGTGGACGGCATCAGTTACTACAAGTATAAAATGGAAGGAGTCCTTCCAGTTTCCGACCCCCGGTTTCCCTTCCTGTGTTACAGGTGGGTCTGTCAAGCTACGGGAATCCTCGGCATGCGCTGCTGCTTTCCATGATGGCCGGGATGTGTGTGTCCATGTTTCTCTTCCGCGTCACAGTCACAGGCGATTCTCCCAAGGTAATCCATGCACGAGCAGCAGGCCGTAAGTTGTAGGGATAGCCCTTTAATGGTGAGGAGCTTGATGAGAGGGAGCGTGACTGTTTTCTTCACCCTTCCCAAGAACTGTAAGTTTGCATTTTCTTTGTCTGCGCTACAGAGAAGCAGGGCAACTGAGTCTGGTTTGGACTGCTTCTGCTGCCTAAGTCGGCTTGGGTAGCCTGCGTTACCGGCTATAGTGTAGACATGACTCACATCTGCCCTAATGATTGCTAAATAAATGAAACGTCTTTTCTCCTTTCCTTTTTTTCTTCTTCAGGAAAATCACTTCTGGACTGTAGCCTTGCAACCTCTAGCTGATCTTACAGGCCTAAAAGAACATGAGGTTTCTGCCTTGCATTTTTTTTCTCCCTCTGCCTGTTTCTGCTTTCGCTGATCTGCCTTTTTCCTGTCCTGGGAGGTTGGTTAGCACTCCAGAACTTAGAACCAGGGCATTGAGAAGATTACTGTAAGTTTTGTACAAGAAACCTTTTCTTGTAATCATTTGATTACACTAACTGACTTTAAAAGTCTGAATATAAAATTTTTAAGTTCTTATATCGAAGGTTCTGAGGACGTTTGTTCATCAGGTAAAATGTATCCAGTTAAGGGGTCTTGTGAGCGAGGTCAGGAGGAATGATTCTGTTCCTGCAGATGCCTTCCTGCTTCACTTTGGCGAGTGTTTTCCTAACTCTTTGTTTCTGTTTCCCATCTGGAAAATGAGATGGCACTTACTTCCTTCTGGGCATCTTGAAATGGTGTTTATAGTTCAAAAAGCATGCTGTAATCTTGGGATGGTCAAGTTACTTATCCTTTTTTGTCCTTTCACAGGTGACTGATAAATTCTGAGCCAGGTAGTTTTCTTAGAGCGTAAGCTAACACTGAAGTTCTGACTGTTGGGGGTTTTTTTGTTTTGTTTCTGTGTTTGTTCAGTGACATAGAGGTTATCAGAGAGTGGCTGCTGGCAAATAAAATGCTCCGATCAGTCACTCGCATCTACAATGAGAACAGCTTTTACTTGGTCTCTCCAGGATCGTTTTTAAAAGCAACTTGATTCACAGCTCTCCTGTGATTTCACGGGCTCGTTGCCCATCTCTCTTCAATGTTCTGGTTCTCTCTTGCAAAACAGTGCATACCGTGCGTGCACGGTGTAGGGGGCAGGACTGTAGGAGCGAGGAGAGCTCACACTGGCCAACAAGACGGTGTGGTGGAGGTGCAGCTGGGCTGTGTGTATGCGGGGTCTGTCACAGGCTTGCAGGCCAGGGCGCTGGTGTGAGCCCGAAAATGTCAAAACCCCCTCGTACCGTGCATAGGCTCTGAGATTTGTCAGCAGCTGCTGATTGACAGTGGTAAGATGCACAGAGCCTGTTTCTGATCTTAACTTGTTTTGACAGCTGTGGATCCTGACTCTGGGAGCTGTGTTTGGGTTCTCCTCGTATGGGCCGATCGCCCTGTTTGGGGTTATAGCCAACGAAAGTGCCCCTGCCAACCTGTGCGGCACCTCCCACGCCATAGTGGCCCTCATGGCCAACGGTGAGTAATGCCCGTTTCCCCAAAAAACAAACAGAACCCGTGTGTGTTCTTGATGAAGCGTGGTCTGGCCCCTGGGTGCCAAGTTACTGATCACGGGAAGTCACCTAAGAAGCAGAGATAATAGAGCTGGAAGCCTCAGGGATGCTTCCTGCTGTACCTGACAGGTTTTTGCCTTGTGCTTTAAGTTCAAACCAGGCCTGAGGAATTTTTATACGTGCAAAAACAAGTACTGGCAGATAAAATAGAGACACTCAAGCGTTGCTAGTTTTCCGTTTGTTTTTCCTTACAGTTGGGGGGTTTCTGGCCGGACTACCTTTCAGTACCATTGCCAAGCACTACAGCTGGGCCACAGCCTTCTGGGTAGCCGAAATCACCTGTACCGGTAGCACGGTGGCTTTCTTCTTACTGCGGAACATCCGCACCAAGATGGGCCGGATTCCCAGGAAGGCTGACTGAGGATGAGCTGCTTGGTGAAAAGGATGCTCCCACGCCGACATGAATGATGCTCGTTTTTTGTTTAACTGGCCTAAGAGTGAGTTTACCTATTGCTGCAACCTAGATAAAAATGTCTCAATTTCTCGTCCACTGTCACGTGCCTGGAGGGCACAAGGTTCCCGCTTCCGATCACTTTTTCCCTCGAGATGTGATAATTCAGCTAGTTTACATTTGCAATGATTTTACCTCCTTCTCACAGCACTGCTGGTGAAGAAAGCAGGCTTCGCAGCCTGAGCTTCTCCACTAAAAGTACTCTAAAATGGCTGGCTTCAGGTGCTGTCACGTTTAGCTTTGTCTGTACTGTTCGTCTCGGCCATTAACTGTCAATTCAGCCTTGTTGTTCAGGGGTGCTGAAGCAAGCCTTCGCCACGTTCGTTCGTCCCGTCCAGCTGCTGTAAGCGCAGCTGTCTCGGTTTACTTAGGCGTGAGCTCCCTGCGCGCTCTCAGCCCTGGAACGGTGACAGAGCAGCGAATGACGATTATTACGGTTCAGCCTCACGGCTGACTTGAGAGCAGGGTGGCTTTAGCTTTACCCAGGATTAGCTGTTAGGAGCGAGGGTGGTGGTTTGCTCTGGACAAGCGGAACGCCGATGCGGTGCTGTGGGAGGGCTCTCCACAGCACTTGGAAGAATTAGGCTCGTGTCCAAGAAATTCTTGGCACTTCAGGGGAGAGCATTTAGAGAAGCTCCTTCTGTTGAACCGATCCTGCCCGGTGCGATTTCTGTGTGGTGTTAATGATTTGCAAGGGAGGCAGCTGCCGCCCAGTCAGCTTGTAGCGAGCACTCTGCAAATCAGCCAGGAAAATTGACCCAGCAGCAGGTATTGCGACAGCAGCTACTGCCGGCCCGCAACTTCTGCAGCTGGGTTTCATGAAAACCAGTATCTCTAGCATTGGCTTGTATTTTTTCAGTACAAGGTGCGTAGTCTAGGATGTTTTCGGTCAAGAGCTGCATCTCTCACAGCTGCAGGCACGGGCTTGGGCTACCTCCGAGAGTCGGCCTTAGCAGAGCCGCCGCTGACAGCCAGCAGCCTTGCACCGCCAGGCCCAGCACTCTTTGCCATAAGTAGACTCAGGTTTTTAACCGGGATTTTGTTGAATATTCTTGGTTTTCCCCGAAAGGATTTACTGCTTTAGGGTCCTGGAAGAGGCAAGTTCAACTCGTGAAGAACCTGCACGCAGGTACTTTGCTGAACAGCTTGGTTGCAAGAGTAGGTAGCCAGCCTTAATTAAAACAATGGAAGTGAATTACATTTTGTACTTAATTATATGATCTTCTGCTATCTGTGAAATAAAAATGGAGCAGTGTCACAAGGGCTCTGGTTGACTTATGGAGAACGGGGCAAGCAGAACTACCCAAACCCGCCTATCCTCTTGAGGTGCTACTGGCGCAAATTGACCCTGCTGCCGAGAGAAAACAAACAGCTATCCGCCTCTTTAAGGAACATTTATTACTTCTACACAGAAACCCTCTGCAAAACTGTAAGCTAGAGCTATACAGGAAACATACGTACGTACAATTATGAAACAAAAGAAAACAATCAATTGCGGTAAGGCCACGGACCCGCACCTTAGCTTGCTTTCTTCACTCGAGGGCAGTGGAGCTGCAACAGCAGAACAAGCCTCTGTGGCCCAGTGTAAACAGTAGTAACGAGTCCGTCTAAGGTAAATTTCACAACAAAGGGGATAAAACGGTATCTTGGGAGGTAATGAAGCATGTTTTGGGGATACGCAGTCTCTGCTGTGGAGGAGAGAGCTCTGGGAGACGCCAACGGGAAGAGAGAGGTCCTGCTCTTCGGAGAAAGGAGTCCGTGCAACAGGCGAGGCTTTCTCTACGATCCAGGTCCGAAGGGTCCAGCTTTCTCTGCCACCTCCAGAGCAAGTTTCAAGTTCTGATCAAACAACTCGCATCTGAAACAGTCAGAAAAGCAGAAGGGGATGACTTTACCTACGGAACAGGCTAACCAAGGCAGGATCTCCACATCCTTTGGCTGTGCATCCTTCAAGGAGAGATTCTGTAGGTCACGAGGCGGCAACCTGACTGCTGTCAGGCTTGGCCGTTAAGTAGGCCCTGCGTGGGCTCCAGGGTTACGTTAGGACAGCAGGGATTGTACCAAGGAAGAGCACCTCCCACCCCCCAGCAGAGCAGCACTGGAAAATGCACAGGTCAGTGTCCCGTCCCTGCAGCAGCATGCTGGGTCTTCCCCCCCTTCCCTCAACCTCTGGGGCTGCTTTGCTACTTAGCTTAAGGGCTGTCGGCATTTGCTACTGCACAGGTAGAAACTGAGAAGGGGTTGCGGCTGCATTACTAAAAGCGGGCTTTTCCTTACCTGATTGGCATCTCCAGGGAGTAGAAAGGATTCTTCAGAGCAAAGTCAGAGTAAATCTCGTAGATCTTGCGGAGAAGGGAGTCTATCCCCGCCTGCCTCGGGTCAGCAAGAACCACGAATTTGATTCCTCGAGCCACAATGACAGAAGCATGAGGAAGGCCGAGCTCTGTGACAGCCCCAGCAAAGCAGAGTGGTGCCGGGTGCCCGGGGCCAGACGGTACCTGTCAGCGTCTGGAAGCAGTGCAGCTTGAAGGCGTCCGTCTCCAGCATCTCGATCCCAGAGCTCCCGACTTCGGGGGACAGCTGCGACCCAATGGCGAAGAGCCTGCGGGG